TAAGCTGCATTTCATTGAGCAATATAGGATAGGCTCTTGGGTTGTCATGACATTAGTGATGCATGGATCCCAGTAATCCAATGTAAAAGTCAACATTTAAACCAGTTTGTTTCTTCCACCCTGAGGATTTGCAAAGACCCAAGGAACCAACTCTGAACCCTAATATTATGACACCACATATTTTAATGAACTCATGGTATTATATAAGCCTTTATGTTTAATCTACACACCCGCTACATTAAGCTTGCACTCACAGCATTAACCCTGTAGCCAGGGCCGGCGCTTCCTATAAAGCGAACTAGGTAGCTGCCTAGGGCGCCATATAGGAGGGGGCGCCCTGCGCCCCCATCACCGGCCCTTTAAATGCTGCAGTCGTCTGAGCGCTCTTAGATGGTGGGTATTGCGCAGTGTATAACTGGGTGGGTTACTGTGGACAACTCTAGGTTTGGGCCCTGATAGGCGGTATGCGAATATGGGTTCGTCTGTGTTTGGGTAAAATAGCGAGGGTGAGAACAGTCACTGAGTTGAGTGAGGTAGGAACGTGGATCCCTTGTGAGGTATTGCGTATGTGGTCGGGTCAACGGATGTGGTTCGACCTGTATGGGTAGGTTACAGTGGGGGTATAGTATTGTTAATGAAAAGTGTCTGTTGCAAAAGCCTGGCTTGTAGTAATATACATACATAAATCAGGTGGCTTGTAGTAATGTCTGCAGTGGGTTGCTATTTAAGTCGTGGGGTGTTTGTGATGTAGAGTTGTGCAGGTCTGGGATGAGTACCAGAGGTGAGAGCAGTGTTAGTGTTGATTGTTCGCAAAGTGGGCCAGTGTTTCGAATTGAAATCTGGTGGGAGTGTTTTTTTGGGGGGTGGGGGTGGAATCAGGAGTAAGTGTAGATGGGGCATGGAGGGGAGAATGAGAGAGAGAGAATATGAGCAGAGGGAAGGGAGGGGTGGAGAGGGACGGGCAGGGGGACAGGGCGAGATTGAGCATTATCCCCGGTCGCCGCCCTAGTTCCCTCCGCCCCGGGGGCTCACCTGAAGGTAGTCTTCTTGGTGTCTCATGCTTGCACTACCGTGTGTTTAGGGAGCACTCAGGAGTCGCACAAATTTGTCTGTGGAGATATATCTCAGGAAGTAGAACCATCTCTTCATGTATTTTTCTTTGGCAGTCACTGTGGTTTCCGTCAAGTCCTCAAACTTCCACATGTCTTCCACATCCTCTACCCATCGTTGGATTGGGGGGGTGCGTGGTTGTCTCCAGAATATGGGGACGGTTGCCTTTGCTGCATTGACGAGTCTCAGGATCACAGATCTTTTATATGCCTGCATGGGTAGTGCCGTGTGGTGAAGAAGGAAAGGGGCCGGGGTCTGTGGTATGGTTTCGTCGGTCACTTCGTGGATCACTCAGACTGTGATAAGGGCACAGTCCCACCATAAGTGGAGGAACATCCCCGTTTCTACCCAGCATTGCCAGCAGACGGCTGGCGTTGAGCTGTCTTGTGTGTGGAGGGCGGCGGGGGTGATGTACCATCTCGTGAAGATCTTCTACGTGTTTTCTTGGAGCCTCGCCGACCCCGGGGTCTTCTGGATTAAAGTGATGATCTTATCCCAGTCCACGTCTGTGAGTGTGTCTTCGAGATTTCCTCCCAACGTCTGACGCATGGTGGCGTGAGAAGATATCGGCCCGTTGCCAATGAGTTGTAGACCAGGGATATCGCTTTTGGTGGTGGCGTGTCTTGTAGGCAAAGTGACTCAAACTCTGTGTATTCCCTGGTTATGCATGGTCTTTAGGAAATCGAGTGCGTGGTCCGGGAAAAGGACAGTTGTTGGTTGGATTGCGAATGGGCATGTGAGCACATCTGCCATTCTGGGTAGTGCGTTGCGGTTTGCCAGGTGTGGGGTGGGGCCCAGATCCCCTGCTGTGAAGTCTGGGTTACCCTTCAGTTGGCCTGGGTCCGTCGTGAGGTAGTATCTGGGGCCGTTTAGGTGCCAGATACGGAGGGTGGCTTTCACAAATGGATTTGTATGATGGATGTGTCTGCTTGCTTCTTGTGTGATCCATGGTAGGGCCCTGAGGTCACAGTTGGTACTGTCTGCTTCTAGTTGTGTCCAGGGTTTGTCTCTCGTTGCCAACGACCAGCTAAGTATTCTCGTAAGGTGGGTCGCCAGGTAGTACTTCCTGAAATCCAGGAGCGCCAGTCCCCCTTTAAGTTTAGGGAGAGTCAGTTGAGAATGGGCTATTCGGGGGGATTTGCCTTTCCATATAAAGTTGTCACGACACTCCTTAGTTGATTTGTCCTCGTGCAGTACTCACACTCACCACTGTTTCTGTTTGGCACTGTTCCTGATTTCTTTTCATTAAGCACTTCACCTGGTCCTTGTTTAGCACCTATTTAGTTTGGTTTCTCCCCTCACTCCTTGCCAGATCATTGCCTTTTGTTTCCTGTTTCCCTGGTCTCCTGTGTTCCTGGCTCCTGCTTACTGTGACTTGGTCCTGTGTCCTGTGTTCTCCTGGTCTTCATCCTGTGTCCTCCTGATCCTGCGTTACTGTGTTCTCCTGGTCCTTCGTTGCTGTGCCCTCCGATCCAGTGCTCTGGTTCCGTGGTCTCTGATTTACTACCAGTGATCCTGTCCCTGCAGCCTTGATGATTTATTCGTTCTTGTTGTCACTACATTAGTCTTGTGACTTTGGATCTGTGCCCTACCTGATACCCATGGTAGCTGCACAATCCTACCCCAATACCAAAGGACTGTTACAGTATTTGTTGCCTGCACGATTCGTGCTTATTTTGATTTACAGTGTATATATTTTGTGGCCTTGTCTGTGTATGTATATGTGACGAATTACCCTTCGCCACTTGGTCCTGGAGAGGCCTACTTGCCAGCCTCCTCCCCTGTGACTATGACTCTTTCATGTATCTGGTTTTAAAGCCCCTAGTCTACCTTCAGACAGACTATTTATGTAGGCTGCTTTATTTATCTTATGTTTTAGTCACCCTGTACCCATTATAGGTGCAGGGTGTGTGTAATGTAATTGTTTATAGTGTGTGTGTGTGTACTGTGTAATGTATTGCCTGCTCTCTTGTATTGCTGAGGTTTGCTACCAACTAGGTGGGTTTGGCTATGGAGCTTGTCTAGTGCCCTCTGTTGGTAGCAACAGCAATATGCACTACCTGAATTGCAAGACTGGTTCATTTGCATATTCGGGTAGATTTGCATATTGCTAATTCTGCAGGCAGGTGAGATATTTACTGTTAAATATTGTCTCCCCCCACCCCTTTAAAAATGTGCCATTGTGTTGTGATAAGTCACTGTGTGTTGCTTGATATGGTTTGACTGTTTGTGATTTTATTGAGGTTTCACAACAATGTTATTGTGGTGACCCTATTGGCTGGTCCCAAGGGAAATAAAGGTTTTGACAGTTCTTCTTGATCCCTCTAAATGTAGCCTTGTCTCGTTATTGGAGGGAGCTGTTATAATCACACTGGGGATTGCTATGCTCTGCATGCTCCCCTGAGCTTGAGTCACTTAGCTCTTTTAAGAGCTTGTTCCTGACACGCTCTCCTTGGAGGAGGGGTCTTCACCACACAGTACTGGATGCTGGAGGTTCATACAGGGTGGAAGGAAGAGTTCCTTCCCACACAGTCCTGGAGGACAGAAGCTGATCCAGGGTGGAAGGAAGACGGCGAGACTCCAGTCCAGATACGGCGGTTGCGGAGTCTGCGGTGGTTGCGGTGTCTGCTGCAGTGCTTGGAGTCCTCAGGAAGCGCTAGGAGCATCCGTCAACGGAGGGTACTCAGGCGGAGTACAAGGAGCTCCGTTACATTGGTGGCAGCGGTGGGATGGCGTCCTAGTGCGAGGAGAAGCTGGTATCGTATGAGAGGTTATTGAGGGCAACGCTAGCCACTGTGCAGCGTCCCTAACTACAGCAGCATGGAGCAGGGATGGATAGAGCCCTGCGAAGAGCACCTCAACATGATACGTCGCTACGAGGACGACGCTTACATTGAGGAGGTAAAGAGGCGGTTGGTCTGCTATGGCCCAAACCTTTCGAACGAGGTGGTCCACCAAGTAATGCGCCAGTTGAGTGCTGAGAACAGTGCGGCAATGGCCTTTGAGCGACAACTGTGGAGGTTGAGGATATGGACACCTAGTATCCAGCTGCAGTGCAAGTTACAGGGAGCCGAAGGTGTCGTCCTTCCTCCCCAGCGGCAGTGCAAGTTACAGGGAGCCGAAGGTGTCGTCCTTCCTCCCCAGCAGCAGTGCAATTTACAGGGAGCCGAAGGTGTCGTCCTAACTCCCCAGCGGCAGTGCGAATTCCAGGGGGCCGAAGGTGTCGTCCTTCCCCCCCAGCGGCAGTGTGTCCCACAGGGAGCAGAGACAGTTGGTCTCTCTCCCCAGCGGCAGTGCAAGTTACAGGGAGCCGAAGGTGTCGTCCTTCCTCCCCAGCGGCAGTGCAAGTTACAGGGAGTCGAAGGTGTCGTCCTTCCTCCCCAGCGGCAGTGCAAGTTACAGGGAGCCGAAGGTGTCGTCCTTCCTCCCCAGCGGCAGTGCAAGTTACAGGGAGCCGAAGGTGTCGTCCTTCCTCCCCAGCAGCAGTGTGTCCTACAGGGAGCAGAGACAGTTGGTCTCTCTCCCCAGCGGGAGTGCAAGTTACAGGGAGCCGAAGGTGTCGTCCTTCCTCCCCAGCGGCAGTGCAAGTTACAGGGAGCCGAAGGTGTCGTCCTTCCTCCCCAGCAGCAGTGTGTCCTACAGGGAGCATAGGCAGTTGGTCTCTCTCTCCAGCAGCAGGACAATGTTATGGGAGTGGAGACAGGTGGTCTCCCTCTCCAGCGGCAGCCTGTGTTTCAGGGAGAGGAGCACAGCACCCTATCTCCCCAGCGGCAGCTTACCCTACCAAGGGGAGACACCAATCTCCCAGATGGCGCAGAGGGGACCATGGTCTCTGTGCCAGACCTACAGGGATGCTGGACAGCCTGTCCAGATCCCCAACTACCCTCACAGGGACAACAGGAGGAGGGGGTAAGTACGAATTCCCCTCCCCAGCTAACTCCTAACTTGGACCTAGGGTTAACAAGGGAGATGTTAACCCCCACTGACCCCCACGTTCCCCTGGCTACTGAGCCGGATTATGTCCCAAGCCCCCCAGAGGAAGAGCTGGCAGCTGGGCAGAGTGCAGTCGGCCTCTGCCCTCCCTTTGTCCCTTGTCCAGAGCCTGATGTCCTGCAGGCTATACCAGCAGAAGAGCTGGCATCAGGGCAGACCGCCGCTGGCCTCTGCCCTACCGATCCCCTTGTCACAGGACTGGCCTGCACCCCCCCTCCTCCCAGCAGAAGCGCTGGCATCAGGGCAGAGCGCCGCTGGCCTCTGCCCCTCAAGTCCCCACAGCGTGTTGCCCCATCACCCCAGAGGAATACCCAGGTGCAGTCACTGTTTGCTGTGGGTGGGCTGCTCTAATAACTGTTTGTTGTGGGTGGGCTACTCTGGCACTTGCTTATGGTCGGTGGGTGACTCGACTAACTTAGGCACTGACCGACAGAAAGTCAGGTGCCTGGTTAGTCTTCCCCCCGAAGGGGAGATATGTGACGAAGTGCCCTTCGCCACTTGGTCCTGGAGAGGCCTACTTGCCAGCCTCCTCCCCTGTGACTATGACTCTTTCATGTATCTGGCTTTAAAGTTGACAGTTCTTCTTGATCCCTCTAAACGTAGCCTTGTCTCGTTATTGGAGGGACCTGTTATAATCACACTGGGGATTGCTATGCTCTGCATGCTCCCCTGAGCTTGAGTCACTTAGCTCTTTTAAGAGCTTGTTCCTGACACGCTCTCCTTGGAGGAGGGGTCTTCACCACACAGTCCTGGATGCTGGAGGTTCATACAGGGTGGAAGGAAGAGTTCTTTCCCACACAGTCCTGGAGGACAGAAGCTGATCCAGGGTGGAAGGAAGACGGCGAGACTCCAGTCCAGATACGGCGGTTGCGGAGTCTGCGGTGGTTGCGGTGTCTGCTGCAGTGCTTGGAGTCCTCAGGAAGCGCTAGGAGCATCCGTCAACGGAGGGTACTCAGTCGGAGTACAAGGAGCTCCGTTACAGTATATATTTTGTTTTACTTTCTGCTTTGGTTCCCTGTAAATATATATTTCTTGATTTAACCTAGTTCATTTGTGTCTTGGCATTTATTTCTTTGCTATAGTGGTTCCCACATTTAAAGGGACAGTGCTGCTCCAGGGCAGCACCCCTTCATGTCATTACAGTTGTGCACTGCAGCTTGGATGGAAGTGAAGAAGCTCTTCAGTACCTCAACCGGTACGGTTTGGAAAACAAAGAGAAATTTGGGGACTAGGGTCATCTTGACCGCGTTAATGCGACTGAGCCAGGAGATGTAGTAAGAGTTCCAGGTGTGGAGTTCCGACCTGTGCAGTTTTGAGGAGTTTATGAAGTTGTGGTTGTAGAGGTCTGTAGGGTCCGGCGTGAGCCATATCCATAAGTATTTCATGTGGGGTGTACACCAACGAAAAAGGGAATGGTGTCTGAACGTCTATGGTTGCTGGCGGCCGATGTTGAGGTCTAAGATTTCAGATTTAGTGTAATTGATTCGTGGGTTAGAGACGTTGCCGTACTTCTCGAATTATGTCATAATTGCTTGTAGTGTTGCGGCCGGATCTTGTACTATGAAAAGGAGGTCATCCGTGTACGCCAGGACCTTATGGTGTGTTTCGCCTAATTTTAGTCCATGGATTGCCTCATTGTGTCTGATGTTGTTGAGGAAGGGTTCCAGTGTCGGTGCGAATAGCAGGGGTGATAAGGGGCATCCCAGGCGTGTCCCGTTGCGTATGTGGAATGGGTCAGCGAGGGCTCCATTAATTCGGTGTTGTGCCATTGGACCGGTGTAGAGTATTGTCTCGGACCTCTCTGCCCGAGATTAACCCCGTCGAAGTGGATCAGGTCTGGGAGTAGCAGTGCTAGGCGGTTGGCTAGAACACTGGCCAATAATTTGACATCCACATCCAGGACTGAGATTGTGCGATAGCTTGGGCATGATGTCGGGTCCTTGCCCTCTTTCGGGAGGAGGGTAAAATCCGCCGCTGTGAAGTGGTTCAAGGGGGTAGACCCTTCCAGAATTGAGTTCAGGGCTGTGTGAAGCTTCGGGAGATAAGTGCATTAATTTTTTGGACATTACCCTGTTTAACGAAGGGAGCGAAATAAGAACGAAATGCTACTTCAAACCCACAGATGGCAATAGCTATGTCCACAGAACTAGTTGCCATTATCAACTGTGGTTGAGAGGCATAGCCAAAAGCCAACTAACTAGGGTTAGGAGGAACTGCTCCAAAGTTGAAGATTTTAAAATCAGGCAAATCATATTAAATCAAATTTGATACACGTGGATATAAAAAAGATAATCTAGAAAAAGAGATTAGAGTTATGACAAACACAGAAAGAGGTAAACTTCTCACCAATGTCAATCCAAGCAGGAAAAGTGAACCCTTTAAATGTGCTTTTATGACTGTAGCCCATAGAGCAGCTAAGAGGAATTGGCCTTGACATTGCTAGGAGACAGGCATAGAATAAGGGTATGTGTGGATTGGCTATGTGGATATTGGGGGTGTGTAGGGTGTATCTTGGTAAACCCCTACATTGTGAAAACTGGAAAGTCATGCCCTCTGTGGTAATGGTTTATGTTTTATATTCATTTATTTATATGTTATAGTTGGTATCTATAATTGTTATGTGGGTCATTGTCAGGTTAGTTATATTAATTAAGGTATGGGGGTCAATAGTGTATCATGTGTTGACAATTACCTTATAATTTTACATGTTACCTTTTATATCATTAAAGCTGTGATATTAATTTTTCCAAATACAAGGTGTCTGAGTATTTTTTTTGGTGGTATGAGGTTAATTAAGCAAATGTCAAAAGGGGACTATGCATATGTCAAGGGTACAATACCCATTATAGGGAAATAAATAAATAATTGAATGACCCTATATTGGGGAACATGTTGCCCCAACAGTCACTGATGATATATTTGAAAACAATGCTAGCACCCAGCTACATTAGGGGAAAGAAATCAGAGCAAAAGATTCTTGTAAAGAAAGGTTTCAAATGGGTGTCGGAACTGCAGGCATGTATTTCTGTATCAATGAAAAATGTTACCATTTTTAGCAGCTTCAGTACAGGACAGATATTGCTTGCCGCACAGACTTTGTTGTTTATTTACTGCAGTGTCCGTGTGGTAAGCAGTATGTAGGACGCACAAAAAGACCCTTAAAAAAACGTAGAATTAAAGAGCACATTAACAATATTTAAAAAGGACTCACAACCCATTCAGTTCCAGTTCATTGCAAGTCATGTCCCGTTTTTAATTTTAAACAATTTAAATGTTTGGGTATTGTACAGGTTCTCCCTAATTTGAGAGGAGGAGATAGGATTAAAAAACTATCCCAAAGAGAAACATACTGGATACATAAACTACAAACCCTGGAACCAAAGGGGTTGAATGTGGAGATTGATTTAGTATGCTTTTTATATGAAGTTTTTATAGAGATTTTTTTTTATATTAACAAATAAAAAAATCTTTTTACAAGAAGTTGGTAAATAGTCCTTCCCGATTTATCACTATAATTTTTTCTATTATTTTCCTTTTAAACAAAATAAGATATATGGAATTATGTTGATTCTAATGGTTTCAAGTGTGTTAGATGCACTTTAAATAATTGAACTGCACTTTTATTGATTTGCACTTTATATTTTTAGCGGTGTGATTTTAAATGTTTAAGATACATGATCAAATAAGTGTATTTTGAATAACACTGGTCATAAATTACAACTATATATAAGACTTATAGAGACTATAGTTTTCTAATCATATTCTCTTCGTAGTGGTTTCTTTAAAGACGGGATCCTTTTGATTGGGGAGTGTGGAACTTTCAAATGACCCAGTGTAGCGTCTGTGGACAGGGCCGTCTTTAATATTGATTGGACCCTGGGCAAAGCATTTGCTTGGGCCCCTGGAACCTGTCCCCCCTCACCAGGCGTGCAATCACGTCCTCCACCCTAATGAAGTGGCAGACCTAAAGTAGAGAGGTGCAAGAATTTTTTTGAGCCTCCCTATCGCATGGGTGATTAGAAGGTAGATCCCCATCTGTCGTGCAACTCCAGCAATGCACTGACAGCTGGGGCTCTTCCATTTACCCATGTTTGAAGGTTTGTATTTAGCACTAAGCTGTTGTGTGTTTGAATGTTAGCAGGTTTTTGTATGGAATATGTTTGTATGTGGTGTTGGCGTACATGCAAGCATGTATTTATGTGTAGTGTTGGTTTTTGAATGCAGGGGTGTGTTTACATATAATTTTGGTGTGTAACTCAGACGTGTGTTTTGGAGTTTGAATGCCAGTGTGTATTTGTATGTGATGTTAGTGTGTGAATGCTGAGATGTATGCACATATATACACACACATATATCGATATATATATATATATATATATATATATATATATTTATGGCACACACAGACAGACATACTGGTACACAGACATACTGACACACACACAGTCAGACCTACTGACAGACAGGGACCTACTGACAGACACACACAGACCTACTGACAGACACACATACACACACCGACCTACTGACAGACACACACACAGACCTACTGACAGACACACAGACCTACTGACAGACACACACACAGACATACTGACACACACCCAGACAGACATACTGACACACACCCAGACAGACATACTGACACACACCCAGACAGACATACTGGCATACACAGACACATACTGACACACACACACAGACATAGTGGCACACACAGACAGACATACTGGCACACAGACATACTGACACACACCCAGACAGACATACTGACACACACCCAGACAGACATACTGGCACACAGTCAGACCTTCTGACACACATATACCTACTGACAGACACACACATAGACCTACTGACAGACACACACACACAGACATACTGACCCACAGACATACTGAATGTGTGGCATCTGAAATGTGTGGCACCTATGCAAACATTAAAGCCCCCCTCCAGTTTCCTACCTTCCCTGGGGTCCAGTGTGCTGGTTTGGTGGTTGGGAGTTGGGGACTTGGTCTCTTTGCTCAGTCCACCTCCTCACTGCGTCCTGGCACAGGCTCCCTCCCGCGCGGCTCATCATCTCTGAGGGAGGAAGTGACTTGCGGACGTCACTTCCTCCCAGTGCTGCTGTAAAGCAAGGGGCCCGGTCGTGCTGTTAAAGGGTCACAGCACCCGACCGGGCCCCTGCTGAAACGTGCTCACCGGGTGGCCCTAAATGTATTGGCCACCCGGTGAGCCTCCTTAGAGTATGGGCCCTGGTGCAGCCGCAGTACCAGCACCGCGGGCCCATGGGGGGGGGGG